AAGATCACCCAGTCCTGACATACAGTGAAATAGTCGAGGATAATAAGACAAAGTTTATTCCTATTTGTATCTGATATTGTACTCTGTGCTCAAACTCAATTTGAGCTTGGTTGTAAGTTAAACCAGAAGTTTCCTTTTGGTTTTTGACCTTTTAAAAAAAAAAGCAATGTCAACTTAGAGCTACAATAGGTAATATTACAGAAGCATTTTTGTTATATTTGTTGAAATGTTCTTTACATCCCAACAACAATAATGAATCAACAATTTAATAAATCCAATACTGGCTTTAGACAAATAGTGGCTTTGGAAGAAGGCCTGAAGGGAGAGGGTGGGGTTTTTTCAGTTTGATGCTTCTAAAATCTCTTTTAGAATCTCTTGCTAGTTTCTCGAACATTACCTCCCCTAGCTTTAAGACCCCTTGTCATATGATGCATATTGTATATACTTGTGACCAGTTCAGCCAAACAGTGAATTAAAAAGTAAGCTTAACATTCTACAGTAATGCATTTGTTTTATGAAATGTGGGGGTCCCAACCCCAATGTTGTGAACCACTGAGCTAAACAATAAACCTAAAAAAGACCTAACCAAATTGGGGAATTTTTATTTAGATGAGGCAAAAAAGGTACAAATGTGATTAGCTGTTTGTGGTGGGGAGCATGTGGCAACCCAGTATCTGGGTTTCGTTTCTTAATTTCAGTTTAATTTTAAGTAGATTTTTATAAATTTCGAGTAATAAAGCCCCACCTATTCCTTCCTTTTTGTGTGGTTCCTTTATGTACTTTTACAGTGCCAAAAGACAGTAAATGCATTTCATGAGTGGTGCTATTAAATAAAGTAATTCATTCATTCATTGATTTTTTTCCGTTTTATATGATAAGATTCTCCCAATCATTTTCTCCTCCTCCAGTGATCACCTCATATCCTGCTGCACAGTTCCACATCAAATCTAATCACTGATTCTACATGACGCTCCAACTTTAGCTCAGTGAGATTATTTTTTTCCTCCACCACAGCGAGACACTTTGTTCCACGGCCAAGAGACATGTAGCAAAAAGCTTCACTGGAGACAGTCTTGAACCAAACATGACCTGAGCATATGGCAGCGTAGCCCTCAGCACACACATAAAATGGTATCGCTATTCATAGGCATGTTTTCATTTTTGTATAATCACCTGAAAATAAGAATTGTTATGTTTTTGTTAGAATAAGATTTTTATATCTGCAGATGGTGTGGGTGGCCTTCCATGGAGGCCACTATGTTGA